TAAATAATATTTTTTAAAATAAATAAAATAAGTTATGATTAAGCTATGTTATAATTAATTTTATTACTTTATATATATAAAATTATATTAATATTTAAATCAAATATATTATATTATAATTTATAATATAATATTATTATGATATAATAATAATATTATTATTATATTTACTTCTTGTTGAAGAAATATAGATACATGCTGATTTAATCCATAATATTTCAATAAAGCAAACATTTTTGCTTCTTCTGAATTTAAAATCATTCCTCTTGGAGGTGTTTTGTAACGTGGTGGTGTTGGTGTATCTTCTCCAAATACATTCTCATCATTTATACTTGAAGGTACATTTGGTGAACGTAATGGGCTAAATTCAGGTACATATCCAAGAGTAGTATTAAGATCTTCTTCTTCATTTTGAATATCTAAGTCTGGTGGCCGAATAGACTGTAATCTTTATAGTACAATTACATATAATATAATAATAATGAATGAATACTATCATATCATATAAATATACCTTTGCGAAGATACTTCGTTTATAGTTTTATTTTTTAAATAAATTGATACTATTTCATTTTTGTTTGAAATTATTTGATTATCTACTACATTATGCATTGTATTAACATTGATTTCATCAATATATTTATTTTGTATAAAATATATGTTTGGAGAAGTAGATAATTTTTCATTGAAAGTACAAGTCAAAGTTGGTGAAATTAAAGCACATTGATCAGTTTCTAAGTGATTTGTTAAATTTAATGGAGGAAGTTTTAAAAGATTTTGTAAATTTTTGTCAATATTATAATCAGTATTAGATGCTATAACATCTGTTTCATCTTCTATAAAAATATTATCTGAATTATTATTCCAATATTCTTCTATATCAAGATCTTTTGCAAAATTTTTTATTTCAGGTATTGTTGATTGTTTCATCATAATATAAGTATATTCATCTATTAAACAATTTATAATAAATGTAAATAAAAATGAATATGAATAAACATTACTGTTACTAATAAATATTACTGTTTGTTTATATTAATATTTTTATCTTATATAAATTTTTATATATCATTATTTATAAAAATACAATATCTTACTACTTTTGGAAACATCAAATCCTAACTCTATTAATTTAAAAAATAAGTTTTTATCATTTTTCATAGCTGCAATACAAAGAGGTGTTATATCATCATTTAGAGTATTTAATAATGCTGATGGACATGCTTCATATACAATATCAAACATATCTTTATTTATTGCAGCTGCTAATCCAAATACAGACATACCTAAAAATCAATAAAAATAAAGAATTTAACGATATTTTATTATAATTATAATAATAAATTTTTCGAAATGACACCTTCAATTTTTTTCAGAATTAATATTATTATAATATATTAACAAATTTACCTAGATAAGTTGATTCATTTATATTAGCATTTTGTTGTAAAAGATATTTTACAGTTTTAATATTTCTATTACGAATTGCTAACATTAATGGTGTCCAACCAAATTTATTTTTTCTATTAATAATTTGATGACATTCATATTTTCGAAAAATTTCTTTTATAATATCAAGGCAATCATTTGCTGCACTAATATGTAATAAATTCTCTCCATAACTATTTACCGTATTTAGCGTATATTCTGCAAAAAAATTAAATAATTTATATTTAAAAAAAAAATTTAAAATAAATTATTTATTTTTTCTAATTTGATTTAATTTTACAAAATAATTAATTTTAATTAATTAAATTAAATTTTATAAAATTAATTTAATTATTAAAAAATAAAAAGAATAGTTTCTAAATGTTATAATTGCATAAAATAAGTTATAGATTATAGATTATTATATAATTATTGATAATTACAATGTTACATACATATTAATTTAATACCTTCTTTTTGTAATGCTTTTATGACTTCCATTTCTACAGTTTTTTGCATACAATAATTTCTTTTTTTCTCATAATTTATTTGTAGTTTAGCATTATTTTTTTTAAACATAATTGATATTATTATTATGTATATGTTTTTTGATTAATTAATTTATATTATATTAAAATAGAATTTGCTAATAAATTTTTGACTTATTATTAGATTAAATCTTTGAAAGTGACCTATAAATGATTTTTTATATTTCGTTCGATTTGTTTGTAAACTTTTAATATATATGAATATTATTTATTTTTATTATGAAAAAAGCAATTGTTTATTTATCTATTATAAAATGAGTAGTGTATTTAAAAATAAAAAATATTAACTGAATTATATATTTGTATTTAAAAATCATAAATTGATATTATTAAATATAAAATTTAATTTTATTTAATTTTTTATAACTTCCGCCAAAAAGTTTTGCATAAAATGTTTTTTTTTTATAATAGTATTATGATGGCAGCACAATCTCGTAAAATGTGACGTGCATGATAATTTCTGACAGTGTTTGAATTTCATTTTTGAAATCATATATCTATTTGACTCAAAACTGCAGTTATTTCATAAAATTACGAAATTTCAATTTCATTTTTGTTCCTACAATATACGAGCAACGAAGTTAACGTGATTTTTTGTAACATATCGAGCAACTAACAGCGATAAATTTTAACTCAATGTGAGTTATTTCTTATCATGTACAATTTTTTTTCATTTTTGTTTCTTATCAAAATATAAAGAATTTTATTTATTGTTACATTATTATTGTATATTTTTATTTGATATTTAGATTATTTTATTCGTGATATAAACTTTTGTTAGGTTAAGTTTCAGACGACGCCGAGATCATATTTTTTGGGGTGGGGGTACTAATTAAGAGAATGTGGATGAGGTAGACGAGTACATATCGTTACCGTTAGTGATCAATTTTTTCGAATCTTTATTAATTTTGGATCTACACATTGTAATATCAAGTAAATGCATTTATGTTGGGTTTTTCTTCTTTTTTATAATAAAACATTATGAATTATTTAATTTCATTATAACAATATGGAGACATTGATTTGCTATTACTGTATCATAAAATTCTCTTATAATATATATAAATTTTACTTGAATAATATATAATTTGCTATTTAGAATGGGAAGCAGTGGTCAATTGTATAGTTTATCCTGGGGAGAATTTAGTTCATCATTGGCTTCTGCAGTACAATTATTAAGAGGTCATGGAGATTTAGTTGATGTTACATTAGCTGCTGGTGGACGCAGTTTTCCTGCACATAAGATAGTACTTTGTGCAGCTAGTCCTTTTTTATTGGATTTATTAAAGGTTTTAACTTTATATTGTTTTATTATATTGAATGTTTTATAAGATATAATATAGTTTTAAATTTATAATTTATTTTCAATCCAATTTTTATTATTAGAGCACACCATGTCAACATCCAGTAGTTATGTTAGCTGGCATAGGAGCAGATGATTTGGAATCATTATTGGAATTTGTATATCGTGGTGAAGTAAGTGTGGAACCTTCTCAATTACCTTCACTACTTCAAGCTGCTCATTGCCTTTGTATTCATGGGTTAACACCACCTACTATATTGACTGAAGTATGTTCTATAGTTAATTAATATAATATATTGCATTTAAATATTTTTATTTTCCTTATATATAATTTTCAATTTCCACATTTGTATATTTATTAGTATTTTAATTGAATCAATATTTACAATTAGCAATAATAATTTTTATATATTTGTTCAAAGATAATTAATTTTTCTATTTATTTAGAATGGAGAAGAGGTACCTGTATCAGCAATACCAACAGCAAATGAAGCTTTATCAAAAGAATCAATTACTCCCTATTTTCCATTAAAACGCAGAAAAAAGAGAAGAAAATCATCTTCATCTTCTGGAAAATGGCCACGTAATATTAATACTACAGATAATGAAAATAGGGCTATAGATGGAAGTGATAACAGTCGATCAACTAATTATGATCACAAAGATGAAGATAATACAGAACATGGAGATGACACAGGTAAGGAATATTCAGCTTTATATATAACAGCATATTTCATAATTACACACACACACACA